GATAGATAGATAGATAGATAGATAGATAGATAGATAGATAGATAGATAGATAGATAGATAGATAGATAGATAGATAGATAGATAGATAGATAGATAGATAGATAGATAGATAGATAGATTTTTGTCCAGTCGTGTTCGACTCTAGGGGGCGGTGCTCATCCCCGTTTCCAAGCCATAGAGCCAGCGTTTTGTCTGAAGACAATCTTCCGTGGTCACATGGCCAGTGCGACTTAGACACAGAACGCTGTTACCTTCCCACGGGGTGGTCCCTATTTATCTACTCGCATGCTTTCGAACCACTAGATTGGCAGGAGCTGGGACAAGTGACGGGCGCTCACTCTGTCACATGGATTCGATCTTACAGCTGAAGATCTACAATCCTTACAGCAGAGGCTTCTGTGGTTTAACCTGCAGCACCACCATGTCCTGGGCAGTTTTAATGAGATGTTTTTAATGACAGCAGTTAGAACTATGCTTTGTACTATTCTGCCTTTTCTCCTTTGATGGATTTTGGAGCTTTTTAAAAGAAATCAAGAAGATGTAAAAATATGGGAGGCCTGGGAACCTACTGTACTTCTGTGACACCTTTCACCCAGTGGTGAGGCTCAGTTACTTTTGACAGCAATTCTAGCAACGAGTTAGAGGGTGCCCAGTGGTGAGGCTCAGTTACTTTTGACAGCAATTCTAGCAACAGAGGGTAATGTTACATATGCCTCTACAAAATTCAGTAAAATGAGGCATGGCAAAGCCATGATTTAAAAAAAGCTTCATTTAAAAAATAGCCCTGAGAATCAAAAAACCTATTTGCATGTTTACTGAGTAACAGTCAATATTGTTTTGAGCAAGATGTTGAAAACTCTGTTAGGATATCGTACAAAGTCCTCTTTTGAATTTGGGATATGTTCCTACATTTGCCCCTGGATTCTGCTTTCGTGCTTTCCGTCAATGGCCATGTTCTACACACTTGTTCTATGAAACACCAGACAAAGATTGGTCCCAGCTAAGATCCTTTATTGTGCAATTACATTACTCCATTTGCAGAATTTTAACTGGAGAGGAGGGAAGGGAAAAGGAGAGATAATTTTGTCTTCCATTTGTAACTTTTTCATGTTTTTCAATTTGAGGAGGGAAGGGAAAAGGAGAGATAATTTTGTCTTCCATTTGTTTTCCAATTTTTGACTTCTCTCTCTCTCTCTCTCTCTCACTCACTCACACACACACACACACACACACACACACACACAGAGAGAGAGAGAGAACTGTTGAGGGGAAAAGTAAGAATATATGTCATTCCTTTTAGGATGGGTTTGTCATGTAGATATCCTCTGGAACTCACTGCTCAGACTGGCTGGGATCTGAATACCCTTTGTGTTTTGGAGTCTGCACATTACCAGATGGTTCCAAGTGCAAGAATATATAATCTACACACATGAAAGATACCTCAAAGCACAGAAACACAGTCATTGGTGGGTGAGAGTGATGTGTACAGCCTGGAAACCCACAAGTGAACACATTCCAGATACAGAAGTGTAAAAAGGAGAAAAGATATGGATAAAGAGTTGACATAGACAGGATTTGGATAAAAATGCATATCCCTAGATAACAGCCGCACAGTTTATTTACTTATCATACTTTTAGGACACCTTTCTCCCACTGATGGGACTTGGTGACTTTTGTTAGTAACACTAGAAGCCCTCTATTAAAAGACACTAACAGCTACTTGATTTTTCTTTCTTTCCCTTTATTGTTCCACGGTCTGAACTCTTCTCCCCCTTGAAGTTCTGAAAATTCTACACAGGATAATTCTCTGTCCTTAAAATCGGACTGCTCTACATGGAACTAGCTGGCTGGACCGCTCACTGGTTTAGTGAGTCTGGCTGTGGACCCAGAGGTTGGGAGTTCCATTTCTCACCATGCATCGCAGAAAAGCCAGCCTATGTAGCAGTGGGTAAGCTCCACAATCCCAGGGGCCCTCCAGAAGAAGGGAAAACCCTGGAAAGGGTTGCCATAAGCCAGAATTGATTTGACAGCAGATGATTATTAGCCGCCTAGAGTGGTTGCAATGACCAGATAGGCAGGGTATAAAATAGATAGATAGATAGATAGATAGATAGATAGATAGATAGATAGATAGATAGATAGATAGATAGATAGATAGGACAGACAGACAGACAGACAGAAGATAGATAGATGATAAATAAATAAATAAATAAATAAATAAATAAATAAATATTATTTATATACACAAAGCTGCAGGACTAGCTCAGAGAGGCTGCATCTCTAAACGCCAATTGGCGTTTGAGGGCTACCAACTCCCTGCATTGTAGAGTGGGCAAGACCTACTTTCCCACGTCCTTCCTTTGAAAATTGCTGTTTCTGACCGGCATGAAGGGAGTGAAAATACAAGAGGAAATGGCTTACCTGTGGAAGTTCGCGGACATCAAAGATTCGCTGGAGGCCGAATACATAGCCTTCCTTTCGGTCGGCATTGATCCTGTCGAGGGCCTCTTCTGCTGTTGTTTTTATGACAGAAGAATTGCATGGTGGGGAACTTAGCTGGCTAGCTGGTGGTGGCCGGGCTGGATGAGCCAAGGAATGTAGAACCTGTAACCCAATTATAAACGAAATTAGAAGGGCCATTTTGAAAGGGCCCGAGGATCAGAGGGGGAAATCTTTTGGAAATGGGTTCAGGCCTCTTTATATGCTTTGACGTTGGCCGCCAGTGTTTGTTCTTCTGCTGCACATTGGCCGTCACCTTTAAACCTGGACATGTACACAGCAAACAATGTGTCAATCATTAGATTATATAGTCACAAGTTAACAGGAACCATGTCTTGGGCCTTAAACCAACAGAACATTGTTGTGTCTGAAACCAATAGCATGTTTCACAAATGTTAATAACAACTAATATCTAACAAACCATGTTAATGGTGGGTGAGAAGCAGAAACCGGATTAAGCATGAAATCACCAGCATTCAGTATTTTCTTTTTGTTAAAGTGTCATCAAGTCTCTTCTGACTTAAGGTGACCTTTTGAATTAATGATCTCCAAAAGGTTGTATCATATCTCACGTTAGGGCTTCCTCCTTTCCTAATGCTTCCAATGCTTCCTAGCATTATTGTGTTTTTTTCCTGTACGTCTTGACTTCTGATAAAATATCCTATGTACAGTAGCTTCAGCTCAGTTATTTTAGCTTCTACCAAGAGTTCAGCCTTGATTTAGTCTAGAACCCACTTATTTTTAAATCTAGAACCCACTCATGGTGCGGAAAAACCCTTCCACAGAAGGTTTCCAAGCTCTCACTAGAATGTACAAAGGTTTGCAAGGAAGGGAGAGAAGGTTATCATTCTTGGCGAAACTGTGGCATCCAGTGGAAATACAGTACTGTATTCCATTAAATTTTGGGCATAATCTTTAGCTACTGGTTTTAGGTACACTAAGGACATGTTGTGTTTTCCTCTTTCTTTTGGTCACACAGCATCGGTTTCTCTACTTACAATGATAAAGGCTCCTCTGCCTTTATCACTATGCTGGTGTTTATGAAGGGGGGTGGGCAGGGCTGGCCAGGTGAGATCTCTCTATATATCTGGAATTAATAGGTGCATCAACAAAATTGCCAGAGAAAGTGGTCAAGTCCTCCTGTGGCTGTTTCAAGTGCCATCCTCGTGAGACTTTTGGTGAGTTGTGTATGCTGAAAGCAGACAGGAAATTAGAAAGCAATGTTTGAAAACCAGCAGGTGAAAAGTGGGCCTCAGAGGGCTTACTCATACACTGTGATCCGACTAACCTGGGTGTGACTTTACTGTGTTAACAAAATTAATGTTTTTATTTTTGTTGCTAAATAATTAGCAGCTACTACATGCATTTCAAGAAAAGTTCTTGGGGGAACCAGTGATGATGTTTATACAGGCTTTTTTCTGTTTTGATGGTAGGGGCCCAGAAAAATGGAAGGAAAATAATGATATCATCACCATCGCCATCGCCATCGCCATCGTCGTCATTATT